GCCCAGCGCGCCGGCCGCCAGCCCCGCCGCCGCCGCCGCGGCCGCCGCCAGCTGCTCCGACACGCGCAGGTCGAAGTCCAGCTCCACGCGACACGTCAGCGACAGCCCGATCACGTTCTTCTCCACGATGGTCGTGTTGTCCAGCTGCGCCAACGCCAGCAGGTCCGAGTCGATGAAGCTGCGCACACACCATTGCAATCTCCGTGAATTTACTTAACTAATTCAAAAATTATGATTTTATCTGATTTATAGTTTATCAAAAGTTAAATATAAGAAATATAATCTGTACACGTTTGCTTGAGATAATTTCTACCCTCTCCTACTACCCAAATTTGAATTATCAGAAAATTTACCAAGAAAATGTGGTCAGCAACATTTCAAATTTAAAATTCCCATAGATTAACTGCTATTTTAGTTATCTTTCCATAAAAAGTTTTTTACATTAATATTATTTCGTTATGTACTGTACATAAACAATAAAACAAAAAATAACGTATAATAAATACGTTAACGTACAATAAAAACGTATAATAAATACACGTATAATAAATTACGAAAGCCTCTCTTAAAAGTGAAACTCGTTTAAGGCATTTTAGATTTTCCGATCTTTTTTTTAACACGTTGATATATTTTTAACTGCATGCTTATATGATTTATTGTATTTTATTGACTTTGCCAGTAACCCTTATTACATTAGATACAATAGTCATTTAATCTAATCCGAACACACAACTAAACAGGATGCAATAGCAATCGGATGAGATAAATAAGAATATTTGTGAATTAATATTAACGGGATCACAAATGCATTAACAGTAATTAATGTGATTGCATAGGTATTACATTTTTGAACAAACTGCACTCCTGAAAATATTTTTGTTGTGCCAAAGTATTTTGTTTATTCCTAAATAATTTTTACTACAAATTAATTAATGAAGTATATAAGACAAAATAAAATTACATTTCGCACCCCGGGTAGGTGACAACTAAAAGAGTTTTTAAATTAATAATTTTTTAGTTAACAAATTTCACAAAATGGCACAACTCTATTCGTCTACTGCAAATAAATAGCTCTTCCTTTTTTCCTTTTTTATTCATATATTTATTTATATTCATTATGATGTACCACAAAATGCTGCAACCATTGAATTTAAATCAATTTCTAATAATCTTACGAGCATCCATAGAGGCGTGAATTCGTGAAGACCACCCGAGACGACGTGACCTTTTGGAAGGTGACATTATATAGGGAGCAGTTGATGAAGTGCACGTGAGACATAGCTACGTTGTGCACGGAGATGTTCTGGAACGTGCAGTTTTCGTAGCGGTTGTTTCTCCACGTTCCCGTGAAGTTCCACACGACGCACTGCAACACGTTCAAAAGCAGTTACACACATATATCTTATTTTAAGAACATATTTGATTGATTTTTTTTCACTTTGTGTACCAATCCCGTTCCTATATATGTAAATGGTGCGGGCATGTTGGATAGGGAGAATGAACGTGGTTTCCATGAAGCATATCTTAAAAATTTGTGAATGAAAGAAATGAGGAAAATAAGAATTGAAAATGCGACAAAAAAGGAATATAATCCAAATTGTATATGTGTAATATATTTGGGGTCTAATTAGCTGAAGAAACTTAACTTCAATCTAAGATAACCTAGAACACTGTCAGCCAACTCTGATATTTTTTCCCTTTTTTCGAATTTCTAGCGTCGATAATAAAAGAGGAAGCAATAGGTTAATATGTTAAAAAAAACAAAATTATCAAACAATAAAAAGATAAATTGATGATATCACCTATAAATATTGTTCATCGCCTGAGAATTTTAGTGACTTTTTTAAAATATTTTTTGTACAGACGTTTTTTTCTTTCAAACTACCTTTTGCTGTAGAATTACGTTAGCCTCAGAGCACGTGCAGTTGACAATTGTTTTGTTTTTAATTGATGTGAAGTACTTCATTTCGCAGTAAGTTTCAATATTTATTAAAAGTTTTGAAAATATTAAGGATTTTTTATACATTTGAGTGAAACTAGGTTAATTTCTTGTATTTTCACTTCTAATTTTTATGAATGCCACAGTGCTGCTAATGTTCACATGCGAAAGTAGCGAAAAGTTTGATACCGTTACTAATTCGCTTTTTTATTTTCTAGTGGTAACTGTGGATCAGAATATAAATTCGTACGTCATAACGACCGTTTAAATGTTTTTCATCTTTGAGACATTGTAAACTCGTCGGCGATTTACTCATTTATATATTTGATGTTTATTTTTATTCACTTAAATTCAATTCATTTCAGTTTGACAATATTTTGCGACGAGCTATTAGTTTCATAAAACCCGTTTTAAACAACTTTTCATCACCATAAAAATTACCGGTGTCAGGTGGGATTATCCAAGTATCATTTGTTTGCTGATGGTTCACGTTACCAGACCCGCGATGCAGGAAATAGCTCCATTAGCCTCACTCATTTGCTCTACCTCGTGCGCCTGTGTTCCGCAGCATATTGCCATTCAAGTTTTACTCAATCACTCAGCCCCCACTCTATAATTCAATGGAGCAGTCCATTCGCTAAACAGGATTTTGCATCCTTCCGGGTAATTCTCTACACATCGTGGACTTCCCAACGAACAATATAACACGATTACAGAACTGAATTATGAGCTGCATAGCGCATTCAATGTTAAATTGCTCTGTCTTCTACTCCCGATAAAATCGTAAAAGCGGTGAAATATGCATCCTTTTCAGAGGTCTGAAACAAAAGCTATCAAATGACAAGAATTACACCTGTCGACACATACAATAAAATTGATCAAGAGAACTATTAATTTAGGTTCGGTAAGAAATTATGAAAATCATAGCTTATCGTGAAACATCCATTTTGCCATTAATTCTGTACCTGAAATGCATGCTTTCTACCCAAAAAGTTGAATTAATATAACACCTGAAGATTGGTATACTCCACTTCAAAATAAATGGGAAGCATATAAAGAAAAATATGTTCAATTTGAAAGTTAAAGAAAGTACAGTTTTAGAGCAACTCTGTATCTTCATTACCTGAATGTAATATAATATTTTTCCAATTATAATTAACGCGTATACTACGTGTTTTTGGAATGCGAATCAAAACACGGTTTAACGCTGTTTTACCGACTAACGTAAATATTTTTTTAGAGAGACTAAATGGAAAAAGAGACGGTGTGAGATTGTAGTACTAATGTTTTCTTCGAAGTACAGCAATATGTGGTCATTTCTTCTGATATCACACATCAATCTTCCATCATTGTAAGGGAGAACCTGCACATAAGTAGAGGCGCAACCGTTCGAAACTAGTTATAAAACATATAGGCACCTCGACAATCAGGTACTAGGAGAAATGTCGTTTCTTATTTACTGTGAAGCCCCGTCTACGTCTGCGCCCGGCACCAATGTTGTAATGAACGTGACCTTAATTTGCATATCACGGCAACTCGTAGCGGGCGCCATAAGAACACAATGTCTGCATTGCCTTATTAATTTATTAATTAAATACAGACATTGAGCTCTTAAGATTTATTTATCAATTATCATATTTAAGTTAGCATTATAGCATCTGAGTCAAATATGGGTATTATTATAATTATTGTATAAAAAAGTGCCTCGGGGATGATTTTTTTCTCATAAAAATATTTTCGAAGCAAAATAATATTAACGAACACAACCAACGATCAAACTATTTTAGTGGGCGACACTTCGTGACCAGCGACGGGGCATCACGTGATGAACCATGTCACGAGAGGGGCACAGATATCGTATTGACGTTTGCGCTGCACTGCAGTCGCTGCAGTTGGCAACAATCGGCTGTTGTTAGTGAAAATGACGAAGTACTACTTCGACAGAGGACAGATAATTGGGTGCCGGAGAAATGGGGCCAGCGCATCGGCAGGAGCCCCACGTGCAGACTGTTCTCGTTCCATTCAACCGAGGGAATACCAAAAGTGGATGACCTGTATTGCAAACATCGAACACAAGATCAATTACGGCCGCCGGCTAGAGATTGATTAGCAAAGCGCGAGCCGAGGATCACAATTGATATTGTGTTTCACAACGTCACATCTGACCCACCGCCATGACACTGGCCGGTACGTTTGCTTTTCATTTACGCATGCCACATTGCGGGCGTGACTCGGAGTCTCTCACAAATTGATCAACAAAGATGGTCTTATTCACCTAGCAATGTAGCAAACAACGTCTCATGGTGAATGAGCGGCAATGAACCTCCGTCATCAGGAAAAGGGGTTGCATCTAAATGACATGCCTCATTCTCTGTGACGCCGGGTCCACAAATGTCTGAAGAGTAAACAGCACAAAGGCCTATCTTTGGCCGAGCAGAAACTATCCAACAAGTCAATATCATGCTAATCCGATGACGTGGCTTATGAAAATTTCTTCTGGCAAGACCAAGAATCGTTGATCATATCGCAAAATTTCATATTACAAAATTAGGGGTAAAGACTAGTAAAAAAATAACTGTCATCTGCACACATATCCAGGTGGGTTTTCCCAACAAAGTAATACTTCGATATTTTAACCCGACAAAGGTCCATGTAGCCGGGCTCAAATCACTACGGAAAGTTGTGAGGCCGGCGATAATGGGTTATTATTCAGTCCGCTCTGCTGTTCAATTTCTCCGGAACATAATGTAAACGAACATCTGTCGGACACGATGGATCGAACTCTAAGAGCTTCTCTCAGCCCATCAGCAAAATGGGCCAGGAACGAAATAGATGTCATACGGGCATAACTCTGGTGGAATATAGAAGTGCCTTATCTTGTGAAATCTATTTAAGAAATACTACAATGTGCGATCATTCGTGAATGGGAACTGACACACTATTTACTGATTTTTCTAATAAAGTGATCGTTCTTTGTACTGTAACACTGTTTTCCCTTAAGAGAGACGAACATACATCCCTTGTTTAATTATTGGAAAAGTCAATAACGTTAGTATTCAATTTAACAACGGTATTTAAAATTTTGATATTAAAATTACTACGTACTACGTTTGTGAATGTGCCACGAAACCATGTATTTGCTATTTGAACACAAATTCGAGTCTTCACTTACTATTTCTGAATAGAGAAACTCAGACATACACTGAGTTAAAATTATTCGTTAGCAAAAGATTGATATCAGGACTATCAGCAGCAGCAAAGTTTTAATACGTTGAAGATGCAGCACCGCGCAGCTTCTACAATTGCTCCTCGATAAACGGAGGTGTATACACGAGACACACTATTGCGTTGCATACAGAAAAGCAAACGCAATAAAATGGTGCAATCTTCTTTTTATTTTTATTTACCCAAATATATATATATATATATATATATATATATATATATAACAGATTCGCAAACTGCAAACATAACTAAATAATAGTTCAGAACATTTTTTCAGAATTTTTAATCTCTTTAAAACAAAATCAACGTGATTTAATTTCTTAGATTTAGATTTATTCAGTAAATAAGCCCAGTAAAAACTGTATGTGATGTTCTTAATTAATATACATTTTGAAAATTTTTATATTCCAGTGTAATCACTTTGCAATAGTAATTTTGGTATATAATTATTTTTCATGGAGAAACTTACTGAAATGGTATTACTTACCTTTGAAAAACAAAAACATTTCCAAAAAATGTGAAAACGGTGTTCAATTTAAAAATACCAATTTCTATTTCCAAAATGTTTCTAGTCTTCCAAGTTCAAGTGTATTGTAAAATAAAAAATGGGAAAGAATTTATGCCTTCAAAAAAGTATGAAACGAAAACGAGTACTTAAGAAGACAAGTCTGTAAAATTGAGAGCATAGAAATTATAATAAGAACAGACGCAAATAAAAAAATTCGAAGTTAATAACAATTTCTTCTTAGATGTCTTAAAGAGACACTTTTCAGAACGATAATGAAGGCTCATTTCCAAAAAAACTCCAATGTAAGGTGAAACGCACGATGCCACATTATTGAGAGGAACCATTCACATCAGTAAACATGAACATGGACGTAAGATGTAATCATGAAACTTCCAAGTGTTTTAATTAGAGAGAAAAGTAATGTAGGATAAATTGATCATTATTATTATTACTCATGTAGGTCCATGGAACCATTCGTCGCGGTTTATGATAAGTAAAACAACTATCCTCCATGCATAATCCCGCCCATTTTAGTTAATGTCGTACTATTGTACAGAGTTGCCGATTACTTATTTAATCTACATTAATGAATGGCTGTTCCTAGGTTTCGTCCACTGCTCTTTCCCCACACGTCCAAGTTCAAGTCATGGACCGATGTGAACGGCCCGTTCAGCAGAGCCGGCGACCGCGACCGCGACCGCGCCAGCGCGCTGCGCCGGGCCGGACCCGCCCGAATCCGAAGACGTCGCGGCGCCACGGACGCTCGAGCGAAGTCCGCACCGTGACGAGTAAAACTGTGTAAATAGTGCACCGAAGTGTTGGATGCATGAATGAGTGAATATGTTTTTAAATATAGTTTAAGAACGAATGAGAGCGTGAATGAAATAAAACAAGAAAGAGAAAACGGAACAATATCAAGAACCTTTCAAATTTACTCTTACTTATTTAACAAACATAATGTAAACTAAGAAAGCCAAAAGAGGTGTTTTGTATTTAGTTTTAAATTAATTTTAGTTCGTTTGTAGATAGTCCCGAAGAAAGCTGCAAAAGCCTAATGGACTGCAAGGATATCTGTCCCCCAAATATGAATAAATCCCCGCCTCCCCAGGGCAGCAGGAGACGGGAAAACTGAAAAAGAGGTCTGGGCGCCGGTCGTGCTTGCCTGGTTCTGCGTGACGTTGGCCTGCTCCTCGTACTTGAGGGAGGCGGCGAGCTGCAGGTGGCGCGGCGTCCACACGCACAGACCGGCCAGCGAGAAGCCCACGCAGGGCCACAGCAGCAGCAGCAGGAGCAG